GCCTTTTGACTGAGTCCAAGTTTTACAGAACAAATCCTTTTATTAAGGGGATTTGTTCAGTGAAGTTTGCTCAAAGGGCCTCACTTGAGGACCTAAAGGGCCAGATGTGGTTCCCCACCCATGAAAAGCACAGAGACAAGAGAAAGTAGTATGTGTATGGAACAGCAAGTAAGCCTGGATTGTAAAGTATGACACAGGGAGACTAGAAAGGTGGGAAGGGTAAGGTTGTAAAGAGACTTAAATATCAGAGTTTATATTTGATCCTAAAGGCAAAAAGGAACAAAAAGTTTATTGAGAAGCAGAGTAATATGATCAACTATGCTTTAGGAAAATCACTTTCACAGTTACATACAAGATGAATTGGCTTGGGAAAAATCAAATAGTAGGCAATCAATAGTCTAGGGCAGATGTGTCAAATTCGGCCCTGCTAGGTGCCCCGAAAACCAGATTAAAATATTTCAGTTTGTCCTTTTAACAAAATAAATAAAAATGCAATACAACACAAATATGTTAATCGGTGATTTTCTAAGTAAATATGCTGCAGGTAGGGATCTGTTTCTACTAGAGTTTGATACTATTGGTCCAGGGGAGAGCTGAAGAGGGACAGAACTAAGGTTCCATTCCTGGAGAAGAAAGGACATATGTGAGATATGTTGCAGAAATAGAAAAAACAGTCAGTCAATAAACATGAGGGACAGAACTAAGGTTCTATTCCTGGAGAAGAAAGGACATATGTGAGATATGTTGCAGAAACAGAAAAAACAGTCAGTCAATAAACATTAAGTGCCTACTATGTCTTAACACTGCGTAAAGTGCCTGGGATACAAGTAAAGGTAAAAGATAGTCCCTGCCCTCACGATAAGCCAATTCTCCCCACTTCACCCCTCCAATACCTGTGCAACCTCTCCAAACTTCATCCCCTTCTGAGCCAGGGCTTGGTCCCAGGGTAGTTATAACCTGGTAACTGGGCACCCCAGCAGAATCTATGCAGATGCCATTGGGAAAGTCTATCTTCCCAATATAACCACCCTACTCCTCCCATATCACCTTATAGCAGGCATCCCTTTGCCCACCTAGGGAGGAATGCAGTGGAAGCCCTGCCTCCCTCCTTTCAGTTCTGGGTAAAGTAGAATGAGTTTCATGAGATTACCAAATGTGGATAGATGCAGATGTCATTACTTTATTTTCCCTCTCAAACTTATTCCTGTACCAAACTTCCTTATTAGTATGGAGGGAAACCTACATCCCTCCAGTCACCCAGCTTCACAACCTTGGCGTCACCTTCTCACTCTCTATCACTTTACTTCTCCAATCAGTTGCGAGAGATTATCAAGTCCATGTCTACATCTCTACCATCTGTCTCCCCTCTACTCTCATGACACCACCCTAGTTCAGACCTTCATCACCTAGTTGTAACTTCTCTCTACAGATACACTATTTCACTTGGTGATCTCATCAATTCCCATAGATTCAATTATTATCTCTATGCCAATGATTCTCAATCTATTTATCCAGTCCTAACCTTTATGATAAGCTTTGATCTTGCATGCAACTGCCTACTGGACATCTCAAACTGGATATTCCACAGATGTCTTTTTAAAAATAGGTTTTTGTTGATGTCTTCTGTTTCTTACATCATCATAGCCATCCTCAGTATCATTCCCTGTCCCCCTCCTAGAGAGCCAATCTCAAACAACCAACATTTTTTCAAAGAGGAAAAAATACCAGTGCAACTGATCAATACATTGAAAAAGTTCAAAAACATGTGCAACGTATAACACCTGTGGACCCTCCACTAAAGGGTGGGTGGGAGCTGTCTTCTCATAGCTCTTCATTTGGGTTACACTTGGTATCTTTAGAATTCTGTTATATTTACTGTTGATTTTTTGGTGTGTCGTTCTTTCCATTTACATTGTAGTAGTTATTGTGTATATTGTTTTCTTGGCTCTGCTAACTTTACTCTGCCTCAGTTCCTGTAGATGTTTCCATGCTTCTCTGTATACATTATAGACATAATTTCTAATAGCACAGTAACATTCCTTTACATTTGTGTACCACAATTTGTTTAGCCATGGCCCAAGTAATGGGCATCTACTGTGTTTCCAATTCTTTGCTATCACAAAAAGTGCTGCTATAAATATTTTGGCGTGTGTGGGAACTTTTTTCTTATTGATAGGTTCTTTGGGATATCAATTCCGTAATAAAGTCTCTGCTCCAAAGAGTATAGACATCTTAGTCCCTTTACTTGCATAATTCCAAACTACTTTCCAAAATGGCTGTACCATCTCACAGCTCCACCAATGTATTAGTGTGTCTATAATTACTATTATTAATAGCGTGCCTATTATTATTCCATAACTCCTCCAACAATGAGTATTGCTATTTTTTGGTTATCTTTTCAAATCTGTGAAATAACACTACAGGTTTATTTTGATTTGCCTTTCAACTGATCAATGAATAAACATTTATTATGCATTTATTATGTGCAAGACACTTTGCTAAGCACAGGGATACAAAAAGAGGCAAAAGACAGTCCCTGTCCTCAAGAAGCTTAAAATCTAAAGGGGAAGACAACATGAAAACAAATATATAGCAAGCTACGTACATGATAAAGAGGAAATAATCAACAGAGGGAAGGTATAAAATTAAGAGGATTTAGGAAAGATTTCCTCTAGAAAGTGGGATTTTACTTGGGACTTCAAGGAAGCCAGGGAGGTCAGTAGTCTGAGCAGAGGAAGAGAGTGTTCCAGGTATGAGGGACAGCCAGAGAGAATGCCTGGAGCTGAGAGATGAAGTGTCTTGTTCATGTAACAGCCAGGAGGCCAGTGTCACTGGATCAAAGAGCAAGATGGAAGAAGACTAGACAGATAGGGTTAAGTTATGAAGGACTCTGAATGAAAAAACAACAGATGAGACAGTTTTTGCACAGAAAAATTAATGCACCTAGTATACAAAGCAAAGTGATCAAATGAGAAAAAAACTTTTGTATCAAATTTCTGTAATAAGCATTTAGTATCCAAGATATGTAAACAAAACTACACACATACATACATACATACACACACACACATATACAAAGAAGAGTATATATATCATTTCCCTTCATAGCCTAGGTGCATTCATTTTGTTTGTGCAAAAGTTTTCCAATCTGGGCAAAAGCCTTGATTTTTTTACTTTTGTAACATCTCTGACATTGCTACAACCCGGTGTAAGCCTTTATCACCTTGACTATTACAACAGCCTGCTGCTTGGTCTTCCTGCCACAATTTTCTCCCTACTCCATTCCATCCTCAGCTGTCAAAGTGATCTTCCTAAAGCATAGGTATGCCAATGTCACCCCTTCCCTGATCAACAAATTCCAATGGTTCCCTCTCACCCCTAAGATTAAATATAAAAAACTCCATGTACTCTGTGATCCAGTGAAACTGACCTCCTTGGTATTTCTTCCTTGCGACACTCCATTTCTCAACTCCAAGTATTTTCACTGGCTGTGCCTCATACCTAGAAAACTTCCTTCAAGTTTCAGCTAAAGTTACACCGTCTGCAAAAGCCTCTACCAGTCCTCCTTAATCCTAGTGCCTTCCCTCTGGGACTACTCATAATTCATCCTGGAGAGATCTTGTCTGTACATACTGTACATGCATGTTTTCAACCCTATTAGACTGTGAATTAATCAAGAGCAGGAATGGTTCATATTCCCAGTGCTCAGCATAGTGCCTGGTACATAGCAGGCATTTATGAATTTATAAATAAATATAATACACATATTGGGAGATATTTGTTTAAAAACATTTTTGTAAGGATGCACAATAAAAAAAAATGGAGGACACTTATCTAGTTCAACCTATTCCAGAGAGAACTCTCTTTCTAATATCCCCAAAAGGTAAGCATCTAAGCCTCTGCTTTAAGACCTCCAGTAAACGGGAAGCCCATTTCACCTTTAATTAGGGTTACAGCATTATAAATCCCACTACTGCTGGGAGGGCCCTCAGAAGCCATCTAGCCAAGCCTTCTCATTAAAGAAACTGAAGCCCAAGTAAGCGAAGTTACCTGCCCAAGGTCACAGGGATGGTGCACGTCAGAGACAATATTTTAAAGAACTATTTCCTTACATGGAGCCAAAGCCTGCCCCTCAGCAACCTGTACTCATCCATCTAAGTTATGACTAATTAGTTAAGTCTAATCTCTCTTTCACATGACAATCATTCTAATACCTGAAAATGCCCACCCTGTCTCTGGTGAAGTATCCTCCCTCCACCTGGTATAGGGACAGAAGTCCCTTTCCCCCATTCATCTACCACCATCTTACACTCTGATTCATATGATGCCAGTATTGGAAGGGTCTTTGAGATTCCCTTGTGGAAGTATCTAGGCGGTACGGTGGATACACCGCTGAACCTGGAATCAGGAAGTCCACTTCCTGTGAGGAAACCACTTAGCCTCTCCGTGCCCCATCTGTAAAATGGGGATAACATACCTCCCAGGGTGGTTGTAAGGATAAAACAAAACGTATGTAAAATGTTTTGCAAATCTTTAAAGCAAAACATAAATGTTGAGTAGTTATGGTTATTAACAATTAATACTTCTTTGGCACCTCAAGGTTTACAAAGGGCCTTCCCCACAACAGCCCCTGAAGGCAAGCAATGCAAACATTGTGTCATCCTCCTTCTACAGATGAGAACTCGTCTCATAGAACGTAGGCCCAGAAAGGTTAAATGTCTTGCCCCGGGTCCCCAGAGTAGGTAGGAAAACATGCCTGGGCTAATCAATCAATCCACAAACATGCAGTAAGTTAAGTGCCAGCCGGGGGGGGGGGGGACCATAGTGATCATCGAGTACAGCCGTGTCATTCCACAGATGAGGCAAACTGAGTCCCAAGAGGTTTCACTGACTTTGACAGCAGGAGGGTAACAGAGAGAAGCCCATGAGCCCCACTACCCAACGCGGCTCACACAGCCGGGCCCCCTCCCTCTTCTCCGTTGCCCTGGCAACTCACTCACCACTTCCCGGGCCCGGCTGGAAAAGTCCCCTTTGGGGCGGGGGCTCCTGCGAAACAGCTCATCCCGGGCGCCGTCCGAGCCGCCTCCGACCGCCACCCCCAGGGCCTTGTTCCGGGTCTTCACAGTCTTCACACTGGCCCGGAACAGCAGCGTGATATCCACCGCCATGGCTCCGTCTTCCCCGCCACCGTGTCCGCCCGGCCCCGCCCACTACGGAGACAGAAGGGGCTCCGTCCCTCCAACCCGACCCTCCCCCGGCAACTGGTGTCAGGCAACCGAGGTTCCGCGCCCGGCCCAGCCGCCGGAAGTAGCGAGGCAGCCTGCACGCTCCCGGGAAACGCTCTTCCTTCCCCGTCCCTCCCCTCCCCTCGGGAGCGCGCACGCCACCCGCCCGCGGATATCCGCGTTCCCTGCGTCCGCTAGGCTGGGAATCCCGAGTCTTGAGGCTGGCGGGAGGGAGGGAGGCAAGCCGCGGCGGGGAGGGGCTGGAAAGGTTGGCAGAGATTGGTTACCCCTTAGAGATTGGTAAACTGAGGCCCGGGAAGGGAACGTGGCTAATTAGTGGTCCAGACAAGCTTCGAGTCCACACAAATTGGATGAGACAGAGCGATGATGGAGCTAAGATGCAGAGCCGACGTGGCCCTTAGGTCTTCTAAAAGGACCCTGAGTCCCTTGGGCAGACCGGGAGCTCCCTGAGGGCAGGGATGGTAGGCGCTTAGTAAATGCTTAGGCTGACTTCCGTAACGTTTTTAAATAACTAAAAGAAATGCTAAATTTCAGTGAAAATTTAGTGAAAATAAAAATGTTATTTTTTCGCCCCATCCATGTTCATATATCCCTCTGAAATCTAAGGGGTCTTTGAACACCAGGTTAAGAACGCCTGATCTAGCCCATTCCCCCCCCCCTTTTTTACAGATGAGGAAACTGAGGCCCAGAGAGGTTGAATGACGAGATCGTAAAAGTCAACTAGACCAGACCTCTATTCTACAAAGGAAGAAACATAAGTCCACAGAGGTTATGGAACCTGCCCGAAGTCATACAAGACATTATTTATCCACATCAATGCATCAGCCACTCTGTAAAGGAGCTGGGGGATACAAAGACAAAAGCAGAAACTGTTACTGCCCTCAAGCATCTTACGTTAAAGAGTAAACTGAAGTCGTCTTAACTCCTAGTCTAATAAGGTTACTGTTTTGTTGCTCCTCAACTCATCGTGAAGATCTGAGAAATAGTGACATGGTGCAATGCATAATAATAATCATAATCCTAAATATGATTCTTAGCATCCTCTGCTCCTTTTTCTGCCTTTTCCCTCCCCATCCCCAATCATTGCAAAAGCAGAAAGGCTGAGGGACATTTAATTTTTTTCATGCCGTTTCAATGACCTAAGAATTCATCAACTAACAGCCAGTCTACTGGTAAGAAGCCTTTCCACATTTAGCTAGGTTGACCCTCCAAGAAACTACTAATTAATAATAACCAGCATTTATGTAGCACTGTTGTGGGCAAAGCACCCACAACAGCCTTGTAAGGTAAGTACTGTTGTTATCCCCATTTGACAGATGAAGAAATGGCCTGTGAGGTTAAATGTCTTACCTAGGATCTTCTAAGTGACTGAGACAGAATGTGATCTCAAGTCTTTCTGACTGCAGGTCCAGTAGTCTCTCCACTGCCCCACCTAGCTACCTTGGCTGCTTCATAGAAGCTGCAGGAGCTTGCAGTCCACTGGAAATAGCCTTTGAGGCTCCAGAGTCACTACTATACTACAATGAGTCACTTAAGTTGTTTTTTTTTTTTGGGGGGGGTGAGATCTCAGTTTACATCATTTGGAACATTAGTAGATGTATTGTTGAATTCTGACCAGTTCACTTAGTATTATTCTGAAAAAAATAAATGTAAAAAAAAAGCAAGACTTTGACATGTTAATTAGATGCTCATTCAACAATAACTGAGTACCTGCACTGTGCAAAGTTTATTTTTAGGAGCTTGGATTTGCTTTGCTTAGGAATTCAGAAAATTTGTGACTTTTTCTAGTTTGGGGTTTGGCATAAGATTGAGGTGTCACTGAAACATCAAGGGATGATGTGTTTCATAACTTTCTAAAGCAAATCTAATAGAAAAAATGAGTATACATGTCAACTTAAACAATTGCTTAGAAATAGAACATGAAAAACAATAACAACAATACTATTTATGCCTCTGTTGTTGTTCAGTTGTATCTGACTCTTCGTGACTCCATTTGGGGTTTTCTTGGCAGAGATACTGGAGTGGTTTACCATTTTCTTCTCCAGCTCATTTTACAGATGAGGAAACTGAGGAAAACAGGGGTAATTACCTGGCTCCAGCCAAGTAGTCTATCTCCACTACACCACCTGCCTCTCTCCTCACCCAAATGGTCTCCACTTTGTGTCCAACTTGTTTCTCAAGCCAGAGTGAGTATCTCCAGGTCTTCCAAATGTTTGTGCCAACTCCCTAGTATAAGATGAAGACAAAAATAGTTCCCGCATCCCTCAGCCTCTGTCTTCTCACCCCACCTTCCTCAAGTTTCTCTCCATCTCCAACTTCTATTATCATCATTAGGCATATCCAAAGGTATGCAAATTTTCCCAAAGTGTTCAAATTGGAAAGGGAGAGGGAAGAGACAAATATATGAGTAACTGCTATATCTGACTTGTGAGTTACGTGATCTTGGGCAGGTCACTCAATTGCTGTTTGCCTGAGTTTCCTCATCTGTAAAATGGGAATGATAACAACATCAAGCCCCCAGAGTTGTTGTGAAGATGGTACAAGATAATATTTGTAAAGCTCTTAGCACAGTACTTGGCATGTGGTAAGCACCTAATAAATGCTTATTTCCTTTCTTCCTATAGAAAAGACATGCTAGGGGCAGCTAGGTGGCTCAGTGGATAGAGCATCAGCCCTGGAGAGAGAAGGGCCTGAGTTCAAATGTAGAATCAGACACTTGACACTTACTAGCTGTGTGACTCTGGGCAAGTCACAACCCCATTGCCTTGCCAAAAAACAACAACAACAACAACAACAACAACAACAACAAAAAGACATACACAGTGTTTGGCACATAGTAAGCACTTTATAAATAGTTGTTTCCTTCCTTCCTATGGAAAAGATATGTTTGTTGCCTTTGTGGAGTTTGTAATCCAAATAGAGTGATAAGGCATAAACACATATAACTATGATTCCATCCACTATCTGATAAGTAAATTGGAGATTTGCAAAGTGCTATGTGAATTTCAAGGGAGAAAGTCATTAATAATTAGAGGTGGTGAGGATTTCATGAAAGTACCAGTCTTTACCAAGTTCCTTTTATCTTAATTCTTCTCTTCATTTCAGAAAGATCAGTTTACTCTTCATCTGGGATCCCTTTTACCTGGCTGCGTAGGAAGTCTATATTTCCCTCAGTCTGCTCATCTTAGCTGAGTATTGGCAGGTAGGGACTTCTTCACATCAGGTAAGAAATCAGAGACAAATACCTGGCAGATCCTCTTGAGGAAGTAATTTCAGATGTGGGAGAAATGACAATATTTCATATCCATTCACTAACATTTAGCAGCAAATATGCTAAAAAAAAAAAAGGAACGGTTATGTGGCAATTGTTACCACTTTAAAGTGAAAGCAGAGTACAATACACAAAACTTATGTTTCTGTGAGTGGTTTATTTAAAAACATAGCACAGCTGCCCAGGCCCAGAGATCATGAAGAAGCCTACTAAATTAGGTTTGTCCTCAATGTTCTTCTCTGACCTTGGATCAATCTTCTTGTCTCCACATAAACAAGATGTCCCACATTTGTAGAGGTCAGGAACCATGATTTTGAGGCTGATTTTAAAACACTATATAAAATGCTAGCTATTAAATGGTAATTATCTGAAAAGCTATTAATAATAATATTTAGATAGTGCTTACTGTACTAAATGCCTTATAATTATTACCTCATTACAACGCTAGAAGGTAGGTGCTATTATTATCTTTCCCATTTTACAGATGAGTAAACTGAGGAAAACAGCAGTTAAGTGACTTGTTCAGGGTCACACAGCTAGTAACTGTCTGAAGTCAGATATGAACTCAGGTCTTCCTTGCTTCGCAAGAGTTTGATGCACTGTCTTCTCACTCCTTATGAGCTGCAGAGTGAACAGCTCTTCCCAGCTCAGCTGTCCATTCTCTCTGTCACAGCCTGCAGTCACAGGAACACAGAAAGTGCAAGCATGAGCTCCCATTCATCACCCCTGTTTTCAGCACTTAGCTACCACACATATTTCTTCCCACAGATCCAGAAAGTGCATATCCAGGTCCATGACAAATATCTCAGCTTGGCACACCTGGTCTTTCTCATGACCATCTCTGTTACCCTGCCAAGTTCTAGATCTTCCTTTTAAGGAAAGTATGCTAGCTCATTTCACTAATAAATAAAACCATGTAAATAATAGTTTTAATCTGTGTTAACCAGGATAAGTAAAAATTCTGGGAATAGCTGTTAATCTATCCAACAGACATCCACTTATGGTACTGGAATGAATAACTTAAAAAGTTAAAGTTTACTTTTCCCCTCATCCCTCATTCCCCTTGGAATTTTCGTGCAACTTCTTCCTAGTAATCTGCCCCAGGAGTTTCACAAGTCACCTTATGAAAAGTCATGCACTAGTTGTGCCCATCAACATGGCAGAAACCACCTGCCTGATACAGAGTGGAAATTCCCCCTAGAAAACTTCTGCATTGGTTTTTGGCATAAGGCTTTGGTTGTGAATGCAAGTTTCCACCTTCTTTGCTTTTGACAGTGTCTTCTGTAATTAAGATGTCTGAATCCTTCATTTTATACTCAGTTGGACATCAAGACACTGAAGAAAATGCTTTAGCTTGAACTTTTAAAGGATTTAATAGGAAAATAGTTTTCCTCCATCCTGTTTCAAGGGGAAAATGTGATCTTTAGAGGACATTTTATAGCTCACAACAGGATATTGAAGGGCATTTGGTTTTGCTTAGTTTGCTATGACTGTGTCTCCCCAAGCACAAAGTGGAGAATTTGTAATTATCTGGATTAATTCAATCAAGGTAAATAGTCATAGAATCACAGAGTTAGAAAGGGCATTCAAGAACATCTAGTCTAACCTCCTCATTTTACAGATGAGGAAACCAAGGGCCCAGGAAGTTAAATGAATTGCACAATTTCACAAAATGTTAGTCTGAAGACTTGGAACCCAAGTCTCTTGACTCCTTATTTAGTGCTCTTTCATAGTAAAATTGAGTCATCCTGATCATACAACTGATC